AGTTCTAGAGGGGGGCGTAATGGTTATGTAACACCCTGTATAAGAAGAAGTTAAATTTTGTTTTTGAATATAAGAGTGTCGGTTGAATAAAATAAATGCAACTTACTTGGCTTATAATCATATCGATGTAACGATTCGTGTGGACGCTCTCTTCTTATAAGTTCCAGGTTTATTTTTGGATTATTTCGATTGCCAGCAATTAATTTTACATCGACGACTATTGTATCATGAAACGTTTGATGATAAATTTAATGTAAATCTCGTTTGAGAGCTCTCAATCATTTTTCCTATATATAATGTAGAGTTAGACATCCTTCGTGTTTATTTTTTTTATCTTGTTAATTTAATTTTGGTTTTATTGTTATAATCTTTTGTAACTTTGGTTGATTATCATTGTTCACATCATCATCATGATCATCATCAACATCAGCATGATCATCAATTTTCGATAGTACTATATCCAAAGCAACTTGTAATTGTCTTGGCATAGTTTAGATGCAGTTTCATCATGAATGAGCATAAATTGACTTTTATCATTAATCATCGATAGAATCGAAGAACATGCAACATATTGATCAAAAAATTTTCGAAATTCTCTATTAATTAATGTAGATGAATATCTTAATGTTCATCGGAGAAAACAAAAAATTTTTGTTTATCTATTTAATGTCGATTTTAATTTGATTAACTTACTCGTTGTACAACAACATTAAGCGTATATTACATCGTTCAGTATTAAATGTTTCGAATATTGATGAATACCGTATAGTACATAAAAGTGCACCTCAAATAATATTTCAAAATATATGTCGTGAATGATCAGATATAAATGGTATCTCATGAGATTCAACAGCTGATTGATGATAGACAGATGTCGAAAGAATACCATTATTGTTACTGATAATAACATCTAGAAATGGAAGACTTTGACCTATTTTATATTCTAGTTTAATATTTGCATGATGACAATCGAGTTTTTTAATAATTCTTCCAACTTCCCTTCTGAATCATTTCATGTGAAGAAAATATCATCAATATTTAGAATTAGTGAAAGAGGTTAATTTTAAAGAAATTTATTGATAACATACCGGTCATAAATCTCAAACGATGGCAGTTCTTTACAAATTGATTCTTGTTCTCATTTCCACATAAATATATTTGCTAAAGTTAATGTAAATGATGATCCTATAGCACTACCAACAATCTGTTAGTAGTGTTTCTCGTACGATAGGCAAAAACATTTTCTTCAATGACAATTGTTAGGGTGCGACATCTATCATTCTAACTGTCATTCTCATAGATCTTGTCTAGACTAGAAAATTTAATACCAAATTAAGGAACTTGATTGGTCGAAAAGTTAATTCCAATTTAATGCACTTTTCAGAGGCGAATTAAATTTAATGCACCAATCGAGAAAGACTGCGATCCAATAATCAAAATGATGAACGAACCTCGATAAAATTGCTTTATATTATCGATAGATAGATGTCTTCAATACGATGGACTATAAGGATTAATGAGAAAGACAAGCAACATTGTTTGCTTCGTGAATACATGCTAAAATTATGCACTTCGACTACATAATAGTGGCCATTTCTCAGTTCTGATTGATGCGTTAAATTCATATGTGTAGACGCATGTTGATTTAATCCGAAATTAATACCAAATTATTTTTCTAGTGTAGACAAGGCCATACTATCTTTTATATACAGTGGCATTCAAAATTGATCGTACAGCTGATGAGTGAGATTGCGTCAGTAAGATTCCCACAACCGCATATTCTTTTGAGCTGCGGTTTTCAATAAAATGTAACTTAATGTCTTTTTAAACATCTTTTGCTAGTTGCTTTGTACAATATACACTGTAAAACGTGATTGAGCGACTGAGAATGCGTCAAAAAACGACAAAACGAAATGAAATTTGTTCGCTTTTAGGCAATTTTTATTCGAGTATTTTCCTTTCATCGTCGGTGACCATCTTGCTTGTTGACACTAATTCATTTCTTTTCCTCATTATATCAGTCGATCAATGGATGCATATATTTTTTCCCAATACTACAACAAACGAAACCAATGTATCATGAATATATCTTCTAGCTCATATCCACACCCATATATTGAAGAAGCTTTTTTACTAAACCTATTCCATAGGAGAGTTTTATTTTTTCCAGCAGATTGTGAATGGCTAGTTTGATTTCATCACTAACAATCACATGTTTTATGGATATGGAATGTTTCCATTTAATTGTTCGATCCATCACTAATTTAATTTAGAGAGGGATACTATATTTCTTGAAAACATCAAGTAAATATCTCATTTGAATATCTGTCAGTGTCCTTTGGGTATGATCAAGTCGATATTGAATAGTCAATCGTATTTCATCCTCGTTCAATTCAGTGATTTGAATATAATTATTTGACGTTGTTTTCATGAGATTTTGAATAGCTTGAAATGCTTCATATTATCTATCGGCCAGGGTTGAAACAATAAAACGAATATTTTTCGATAGGCCAATGGGAAACTAATCCACCTTTCGACTTCCATATTCCGGTGAAAGTTGATCTAATAAATCTAATAAAATAAATACTTGTTCATTATCAACACATTCTTGACTAACTTTAATTAAGAATTTCTCAAAATAAATATATAATTTATCAATTGGAGTCATCTCTTCATAATTGATAATTAAATCAAAACAATGAGATAATTGTTTGATAACAGACGAGAGTAAATTCTGAATATTATATGAATCCTCTGATGTTCCGATGAATCGAAGAACGGTGATGAAATTGATATTCTTAAACCGATCATTCAATTGTTCGGCGAATTTTTCCTAGTAAACTTGTTTTTCCACTGCCCGATATTCTATATGTGACAATTTGTATTGAACGTCTTGTTCAAGTAATAATGATTGAATTTGATTGATGAAGGAATGTCGTCCCATAAAATCTTGCACTTCTTCATGAGACAATCGTAGATAATGAAAAAGACCCACATAATTTTCCAAAATATGAAATAAAATCTCATTTTTATTGATATTGACTTCAACTAAATTTACTACATTACATTCGAATAGATTAGCAAATTCGAGGAGATAATTTTCGTTGACTGACTGAAGTCTTTTGCATTAATTCCGAGATCGAATTGATATCAATGGTGAATTGTTTTATATTTCTTCTTGGTAATCTTCGTCGAGTACATTCTTTTAAACGATGAATCTTGTTCATTTCCGAATTCATTTTGATATATTTATTGAATATATTCAATAATGTTGGATTGATGAAATCAGGTTTGTTCTATCGAAAAAAAAAATGCTAAACATCGAAAATGGCAATCGTTAGTTTTAAATATTTCCTTATGAAGTTCGATTTCTGTCACGAATCTCGTATATTTAGCGACATCATCTTTATCCAAATTCAAAGCAGTAGCACAGTGACGTAACAGGTTCTTTCAATCTATATCGATGAGATAGTATCGAAATAAAACAAAGGTCCATTAGGTAATTCATTTGCTAAGCATATTTCATCCACACAAATATTTGTCGTTATTTGATCGTTTTCAGCTGATTCGAAGATGCTCCATCTTATATCGGCTATTTGTAGAATATAACCTTTCGATGAGCAGTATTTTTTCAATCTGAGATAAATGACATGCATGATTTTATATCGTTCATCGCTCATATCTTTGAATGTCGAACTGATAAATAAGCGAATGATTCGACTTAAATTCGAAATTTTTGCACGAACATCACCAGTCAGAGCAATATGTCTTGAGCATGATCATGCACACTGGGAAATATTGGTCGATCAGACAACTGTGCAAACTCTCTGGATAAATCTAGTACCATTGTATAACTAGATTTTTCAATATCAGATATATGGTCTTTCAGACTCTACTGATCCTAAAGCAACATCACGAAAAACAAAGATAAACATAATGGAGAGGACAATCAAGCATCAGACTATTGCAAAGCCCAGAAGTATGCGAGAATGCATTTTTCTAAGTAGAATTTACTGTGTACCAGCTTATGATTTCAATGTGATATTAATAATTTCTCCTTTACACTCGGAGACGAATGCTTTTTTCAACATTACTCATCTCTCTCGTTCTTCCTTTCTTCTTTCTATTGCGGCGTTTAGTCGCTGAAAAACACGACATCAAGAGAAGAGAACGAGAAAAAAATAACATCGCCTTACTTTGATCACGTTTTCTTCTCAATATTATCAAGTAAGAGCGAGAGGCCACACTTCTGTTCTTATTTCCATGCAGTCATAGTTAGACCAAATTATTTTTTTTTCTTCTTTCATAATCGATATAAACAACACGTGGTACAAAGTAACTGACGGTGAAGATATAATAGACAGAAATGCTTACTTCAGTATGCTGCACAGAAAATACAAAGTTCAAATGCCCGACTATCTCATTCGTAGAGAAGAATTAAGCGATATAGGTTAGGGGATCGTTATATTGTTTATTCCTATAAAATTTTTTTCATGTCAGAAATGAAAGTCAACAAGAAAATGACTAATATCTTGATGAATGATGAGAAAATCGAGAATATTTTAGATAGACTTCTATTAGTGTTGGCAATGAGCAAAATCTTGCGGTTGATTACAATTTAGTAGTAAAACAATGGTAAACATGTTCATATGCTCAGGTGTTATCATTAAAAGCTCCATTATCGACTGTATGACTCTATCCAACATTAAAAAAAAATACTAGTTAAAAATTAACCTGAAGTAGTATTTTGTTATAATATTTCAAAAATCATTTATGTTACAAACGAAAAAGGGCCGTAGAGGACAAATAGAGATAAATATAGCATAAGAAAGACGGAGCAGGAAAGAAAAAAAGAGACAAAAAATAAATGCCATAACAAATCTCTCGTATGTCATGTGATATTGGGATTACTAAAGAAATATTCATATTCATAGCAACGAGAATATACTGCCCTGCATTTTCAGTAAAAATTCATAAAATTTCTTTCTAGAAAATAAGATATGGTTGAGTCACAGCTACAATCTATTGGTATCGGTGTTAGTCTTGGAATAGTTGGACTCATTGGATACTATATTTACGATGCTTATCGACAATCAGTCAAACCCTCAAAATATATGTTAGCTACAGAAAAAATGGGATTTATTGGCTATGAGAAAAGTAATGGACAAAGAGTCACTATGGAACAACAACAAGAAGCTTTATTAAGAATCTTCCAATTAGCCGGCTATTTCACCTTACCAAACATCTGGCATGATTTGAATTCGATTCAATGTATAAAGAATCTCGAAAATGTCTTTCAAGAGATATCAGCTGTGGTGAAATTTTCAAACGCTGATCAATCAGATCCGAGACAATTCAATGCAAAATACATGCGGAAAAATCTGTTTAAAAGTAATAATATGGATCTACAAGATGCCTTGGACTTGATCTTGTACATCATACAATATGCTTATACTCGACAAATTGGACAAGAACGATATGAACTTGTTTCACCTGACTGGATCATCACCTATGCTAATGAATATCGTCAAGCCGCTCGACTATTGCGTTTGATCGATCGAGAATATCCATCATTGAATGAGTACGATGGTGCTTGGAGTGCTGGTGCTGCTCGTATTGACTTAGTACAACGAATTCTTGATTTTAATTATCAGATTATGACACGAAATATTAAGATCGATGGTGAAACACTCGTTTTAGCCGGCGAACGAGAAATTTGGGCTAATATCGATGGCATTTCCCCTTCAATAAGAAAACAATTACTGAAAATATCTCAGAATAATATCGATATCGATACTATATCTCTTTTATCATCTACAATTGACGATAGTGCTCGTATTAATGAAGGTAAATCGTACATGATTCATTTAGCGAAGTCTTATAATATAAAATTGAATGCATCACAACCATTTATTCAATATCAAAGCAAGGAGGAATGCCCACTGGATCGTTTTCCAGATAGAATCTATGCCAATTATGATGTGAATGAAACATCTAAACTAACCGAAACTCTTTTATCACGTGATTTATTGCAAACTTTTTCAAATAACATCGCAAATAAAATATGCATTATTGATACATTAGCTCAAGAACAAATTCGACCTAATACAGCATCGACTGCTCGAGATGCTGCTGAAAGACTGATAAAACGTATTCTTATTGGTGATTATGGAGATAAAAAGATATTTTTTATTTTACTTTGTACGAATAATCCCTACATCGAACGACAAACATTAACTACTCAAAGACATGTTAATGGAGTGATGGAAAAATATGGTTTGATTGAAAAAGGTTATCAAATTAAAATCGAAGGTTTTGGTTGTTCGTGTAAACAACCATTAATTATCGTGCATTCCGAACTTAGTGCATTAATTGCTGAGAAATGGAAATTCGCAGTTAATGATATTCAAAAATCTCTGAGATTAAAGCTAAAACGAGATGTTAAAACTTTATTGTTTAAAACGCGTGATAAGAATATTGTTGTGGCAGATCAGCCGAAGATTGAGATAAATCGTCCTAATAACTTTATTAAAAATTGGTTTGACTCATATCTTGTCTAATAAATATTGCACATAACAAAACTTCTAACTTTATGTCAGAATTATTAAAAATAATGAAATGTAATCATCAGAAAAGGTAACTTTTGTAATAGAATATTGCATATTATCGCATGTTGATTTTAATAAGATCATTCCATTCATTCAACTGATCGAATAAACCAACAGAAAGTTTATCATCTATCGTGCTCGTCACAGCCGATCCTCTCTTACAGTATCAAAAAGAAGACAAAGTTAATGTACCAAGAAGTGACTAGACATTATTTGTTTTTTAACTATCAGGATTTGATACAATTATTTGAAATAGATTATCGTAATATAGAAAATACCCATGGAGACAATGATACAATAAATATGAATCTACTAGCTGTCATTGTTAATGCATTCGAGTTGGTCAACGATTTGGTAGTATATGTAGTTCTTCTTTTGATGAGTCATTGATGAAAAATTTTACATGTTCACATTGTATGCGTAGAATCATTACGCAACAAGGTGTTTTAGTATGGATTCAAATCATTAGAGGCAGTCATCTTGGTATTCGAGAAAAAGATGATATTGAAGAACAATTTATTCTTAGGAATGATGAAAAAATGATCAAAATTCAAGTCAAATTTCAAAGTATGCCTTTGCTTATATATGGAAATTTGAAATTTGTATCATTGATGAGGACAATCAGATTTTTCAACACAGCGGGACGAGCAAGTCGACCGATTGATGATGATGATGATGATGACAGTGCAATATTTACTAACGAAGTCAATGGATATACATTAGGGTATGTCAGAGAACGAAGCATGCTATGTATTGGTCAATTATAATTTCATTGATTTTGCATGGTGCTTGACTGATAATCACTTGTATTTATTCTATTGATATTTGTTATTTGTACATATGACTATAGATCAAAATCTGTTTCACTGTCAATGGAAAGTATTTATTGAATAAAAGTGCCGATATTGATATGTATAAACAGTTCGCTTTGTTAAAAATCGAGGATGAAGATGATTTTTCAACCATATTCGGAGCTCTATAGGAAGTGAAATTGCGTGTCGAAAAAACTTGAATAGCGTTGCTTTTCAAACGAGTTGACTCAATTCTCCGTTCTGACGTATCACTTGGTATTTTTATGTCTTGGATGCGAGTGTGGTGAGTGTGGACCTTCTCTTCATCAACACCTACACTCACACCCAAGCACAAGATACATTTTCGCTCTATTTTGTTTTATTCAATATTTTTTTGCTCTGATTGCTTTCGCTATGTATCGTTAAATTTATTTGTTGATATGATTTGTCAGGCATTAGTCTAGTGTAAAGTTATGATGCTTGCAAACACGTAAAACTGGTCCTGTCCCTTTTGTTTCATTGTCATTTGATGCAATTCAACTGAATCTAGATTGAATTTGAATGTCTAGATGAAATTGAGCTTGTTTCTCATGTGCAATCTTACTCAAGGAGGGTTCCGGAATTTCGCCAATAAGACTTTCGCCATTGCAGAAAGTCCACTGTACTTTCGCCAATACATCC